ATCACAAAATTGAAAAATCGAAAAATTTAAAAAATGAAAAATTTAAAAAACGAAAAATTGAAAAACAGAAAATCTAAAACCGGGAAGCCGAAAAATCGAAAATTAAAAAATTAAAACATTTGGGAAATCGAAAAATCTACAATTTAAAAATCGGAAAAGTAAAAAAATCGAAAAATCCAAAAGTCAAAAATCGAAATATCGAAAGTCCCAAAACTGAAATATCGAAAAACTGAAAAATGAAAGAAAAAACTGAAGAATGGATAAACTAAAAAATCTCAAAACTTAAATATCCAAAAGCTGAGAATTTAAAAAATCGAAAAATTGAAGAATTGAAGAACTGGAAAATCGTGAAGAAATGGGAAAATCAAAAATCGATTAATTGAAAAATCGAAAAATTGAGAATTCAGAAAAGTATAAAATTAAAAATTGAAGAGGAGAAAAATTGAAAAAACGTAAAACGAAACATTGGAAAATTGAAAATGGAGAAATTGAAACATTGAGAAATTGCAAAATCGAAAAATTGAATGATAAATAATCTGAAAAATTCCAAAATTGAAATATCCAAAAACTGAAAAATTGAAAAACTAAGAAATCTAAAAATCAAAAAAGTGAAGTCGAAAATCGAAAAATCAAAAATCTCGAAAAGTAAAAAATCGAAAACCGAGAAATGGAGAAGTCGACAAATCGAAAAATTGAGACACCGAAATTGGCCAAAATCGAAAGATTGAAAAGTTAAACAAATAAACAAACATCCAAATCTCGATAAATGGAGAAATCAAAATATTTAAAAATTCGAAAAATTGAAAAAGTGAAATATTGAAAAATCGAAAGATCAAAAAATCGAAAAATTGAGAAACCGAAATAGGCTAAAATCGAAAAACTGAAAAGTTGAAAGTTAAATAACTTGAAAATCGAAAAATCCAAAATCGGAAAAATAAAAAAACTAAAAACATTCTGATCGAAAAATTTATAATTTAAAAATCGAAAAGTAAAAAAATCGACACTTCGAAAAATCCAGAAGTCAAAAATCGAAAGTCGAAGAATCGAAATATTGAAAAATCCCAAAACTGAAAAAGGAAAGATAAACTGAAGAATGGATAAATTGAAAAAACTCAAAACTGAAATATCCAAAAGATCGAAAAATTGAGAATTTAGAAAAGTCTAAAATTAAAAAATCGAAAGATCTGAATATTTAAAAATCGTAAAATTGAAGAGGAGAAAAATTTGAAAAAACGTGAAACGAAACATTGGAAAATTGAAAATGGAGAAATTGAAACATTGAGAAATTGTAAAATCGAAAAATTGAAAATAAATAATTTGAAAAATCCCAAAACTGAAATTTCGAAAAATTGAAAAATGAAATAAAAACAGAAGAACGGAAAAACTGAAGAATCTCAAAACTGAAATATCCAAAAACCGAGGAATTAAAAATTGAAATATTGAGAAATCAAAAAGTCAAAAAAGTGAAGTCGAAAAATCAAAACCTTAAAAAATTGTAAAATCAGAAACCTAAAAATTTGAAAAATTGAAGAAATGAAAAATCAAAAAATTGAAGAGGAGAAAAATTGGGGAAACATAAAATTGAAAACTGAAATATCCAAAAACTGAAAAATTAAAAAAACTGAGAAATCTAAAATCAAAAAAGTGAAGTCGAAAATTGAAAAATCAAAAATCAGAAAAGTAAAAAATCGAAAAACGGAGAAATCGAGAAGTCGCCAAATCGAAAAATTGAGACACCGAAATAGGCCAAAATCGAAAAATTGAAAAGCTAAACAAAAAACAAATATCCAAATCCCTATAAATCGCGAAATCAAAATATTTAAAAATTTGAAAAATTGAAAAATTGAAATATTGAGAAATCGAAAGATCAAAAGATCAAAAAATTGAGAAACCGAAATAAGCTAAAATCTAAAAACCAAAATCTTGAAAGTTAAAAAATTTGAAAATCGAAAAAAAAAAATCGGAAAAATAGAAAAACGAAAAACTTTCCGTTTTCCGTTTTTTCGTTTTTTTACATTTAAAAGACGAAAAATTGAAAAACAGAAAATCTAAAACCAGGAAGCCGAAAAATCGAAAGACTAAAAAATCAAAACATTTGAGAAATCGAGAAATCTACAATTTAAAAATCGACACATCGAAAAATCCAAAAGTCAAAAATCGAAAAGTCGAAGAATCGAAATATTGAAAAATCCCAGAACTGAAAATGAAAGAAAAACTGAAGAAACTGAGAAAACTAAAAACTGAAATATCCAAAAGCTGAGAATCTAAAAAATTGAAAAATCGAACGTGAAGAAATGGGAAAATCAAAACATGGATTAATTGAAAAATGGAGAAATTGAGAATTTACAAAAGTGTAAAATTAAAAAACCGAAAAATCGAAATATTTAAAAATCGTAAAATTGAAGAGAAAAATTGAAAAAACATGAAACGAAACATTGGAAAATTGAAAATGGAGAAATTGAAACATTGAGAAATTGCAAAATCGAAAAATTGAATAATAAATAATCTGAAAAATCCCAAAATTGAAATTTCGAAAAATTGAAAAAAGAAAGAAAAACAGAAGAATGAAAAAATTGAAATATCCAAAAACCGAGGAATAAAAAAATTGAAATATTGAGAAATCAAAAAGTCAAAAAAGTGAAGTCGAGAAATCAAAACCTTAAAAAATGTAAAATCAAAAACCTAAAAAATTGAAAAATTGAAAAATTGAAGAAATGAAAAATCGAAAAACTGAGAGTTTATGAAGTAAAATTTGAAAAATTGAAAAATCGAAATATTCCAAATATTTAAAAATTGAAGAAACAAAAAATTGAAGAAACGAAAAATGGAAACTCGGAAAATTGTAACTTGAAAAATTGTAATGTCGAAAAATTGAAGAAACAAAATTGAAGAAAAAATAAGTTGAAGAAACGAAAAATCAAAAGGAAAAATTGAAACCATGAACAATTGAAGAAATGAAAAGTGGTAACTCCAAACATTGCAAATAGAAAAATTGAAGGAACGAAAAATAGAAAAATCAAAAATGTAAAGAGAAAAATTCAAAACTCGAAAAAATGCAACCGTGAAATTGCAGAAACTCAAAATATTTCAAATCGAAAAATTATAAAATTGAAGAACCGAAAAATCAAAGAAACCAAAAATTGTAGAAACGATAAGTTGGAGGAACGAAAAAACAATTTAAAAGTCAAAAATTGATGAAACGAAGAATTGAAAAGTCAAAAAATTTGAATTAAATTCAATCAAAAGAAAAAATTGAAGACACGGAAAATTGAAGACACGAATGATTGAAAAATCATAAAATTTAAAGACAAAAACTGAAAACTCGAAAAATTAAAATAGAAAAATTTAGAACCCGAAAAATTGTAAAATCGAAAAATTGTTTGAGTTGAATTGAGTTGAAGAAATGATAAATTGAAGAACCGGAAAATTGAAGAAATTAAAAACTGAAGAAACGATAAGTTGAAGAAATACAAAGTTGAAAGGAAAAATTGAAGAAACGAAAAATGAAAACTCCAAAAATTGCAGTTTGAAAAATTGAAAAAACGGAAAATTAAAAAATTAAAAAAATGCAAATAGACAAATTGAAAACTTGAAAAATTGAAAAAACAAAATATTTCAAAATCGTAAAATTGAGGAGAAAAATTGGGTAAACATCAAATTGAAAACTCGGAAAATTGAGAAATTGAAAAATTGAATAATAAATAAACTGAAAAATCCCAAAACTGAAATTTTGGAAAATTGAAGAAACGAACGATTGAAAAATCATAAAATCCAAACACAAAAATTGAAAACTCGAAAAATTAAAATATTAACAAATCGCAAAATCGAAAAATTATAAATAGATAAATTGAAGAAATGAAAATCCGAAAAATCGAAAAATTGTAATTGGAAAAGTTGAAGAAATGAAAAATAAAAAAATTTTTATTAATCGAAAAACTGAAAAATCCAAAAATTGCAAATAGAAAAATTTAAAACCCGAAAAATTGTAAAATCGAAACATTGTAAAACAAAATATTGAAGAAACGAAGAGTTGAAGAAATGAAAAATTGAAGAAATCAAAAACTCAAGAAACGATAAGTTAAAGAAACGCAAATTTGAAAGGAAAAATTGAAGAAACGGAAAATGAAAACTCCAAAAATTGCAGTTTGAAAAATTGAAAAAACGGAAAAATAAAACATTTAAAAAAATGCAAATAGAAAAATTGAAAACTTGAAAAATTGAAAAATCAAAATATTTAAAAATCGTAAAATTGAAGAGGAGAAAAATTACGAAAACAAAATTCAAAGCTCGGAAAATTGAGAAATCGAAAAATTGAATAATAAATAAACTGAAAAATCTCAAAACTGAAATTTTGAAAAACGAAGGAAAAACTGAAAAATTCTAAAACTGAAATATCCAAAAACTGAAAAATTGAAAAACTGAGAAATCCAAAAATCAAAAAAGTGAAGTCGAAAATTGAAAAATCAAAAATCTGAAATATCGAAAAATTGAGAAATCGAAAGATTGAAAATAGAAATGTTTCCATGGTAGTTTCTTGTAGAGAATTAAGCATTATGCATTTCGATTCACAACGAATAAAAACGTTATCACAACTGGGACGAGGGCGGGTGGGCGGGGTTTGTATTTGGCCTTTTTTTTCTTAACGTACGTATTTTTTTTCCACGACAAAAAACTGAAAACATGTTTAAAAGGATAAATTTGTGGAGAAGTGTGGGGGATAAAATTTATCATTTTAAACATGTTTTTAGTTTCTTGTTGTGAAGTAATGACTATGTATGTTAAGAAGAAAAAAAAGGAAATATAAGCCCCGCCCACCCACCCTATCTTAATTGTGACGATTTTTCTTTGTTCGACGTTAGTTATTGGGGGCGGAACTTAACTGCAAAATCGATATTTTCTGTTTTAAACATTTTTTAATTTCTTGTTGCGAAAAAAAGACCGCGAATATTAAGGGAAAAAAAAATGGAAAAATATAAAGGGATAAATAAAAACCAAGCATGTAATAAAAATAAATCATTCTCGTGTATTAATACTACATTAGGCTACAACTAAAGGAATTCTGCTTCATATTCACTTAACATTGAACAGTCTTCTGGCGAGACTTGATATAGTTGCATTGTCGAACACACTGTTTACATACTAGAAAAAAAGCTGTTTCAAACAGTCAATTCAATTTCCTCCTACTCACATTCTTGACTTGTTCCTCGATCGGTTTCTTAATATCGGGCCACAACAGATCGATAGCTTCCGGTGCCATTTTCGAAATTGCCTTATTAAATAGCTCCCCGATTTCCTCGTCGTGCATAAAATTGTCAAAGTGATTCTACAAAATCGATTTATAAACTAGCAACCCTCAATCCAGAACCCATTACCTCCAGCTTCCTCAACTTAATATTAATAAACAAAGACGTTAGCTTCAACTTGAGGTGGTCGAACTGGATCACCGTCGAAATGGCCAGTTTAAAATCGATCAGATTCAACCTTCGAAAACTCGCTAAGCAATCTACTTAAGTACTTAGTTTAGTGTGGTTTACCAGAACTCGCCCTCGCCGAAAATGGGAATGGAATCCCCGACGAGTCCGTTGAGCTTGTAGAAGCCGTCTATGGTTAAACGCGGGAAGGTCAGGTTCAGGTCCAGCTTATACCTCAGCCCGCCCAAATCCTTGAACTTTTCGTCGTCGATGACGAACTTGGAGATGTGCCGGACTGTTACGTCTTGGACGTTACCTTTAAGGCTGCGGAAAGTGAGAAAGTCGGTTTAAGGGGAGGCTTTACCCTGCCGCGTCGTGGACGACGTCGAATTCGATTTTTTCGATGTGGAGCGGGTCGAGGATGGGGATGCTGAGTTCCGGGATTCCCCGGAGGATTAGTTTGCGGAACTCCTCGAGGAGGTGGCGCAGGCGGTCTTCGACTCGGCCGAAGGTGTCTATTATTCGGTCTACGGTCCGCGAAACGGCGTTTATTCCGCCGCGGACTATACCTGGAATTTATTTTAATGTTGATTTTAATTAAATTATATTTGTTTGGAAAATAATGTCGCGTTTTACGAAATTAATTATTCGAAATGTAAGCATAAAATTCTCGTTTATTTCTGGTTTAAAAATTCATTGCGATTTTTTGCGTTGCAGGCCTAAAAACTAGCTAAGCTTGCACCATCGGACTTGACATTTTGTGTTTTAGAGATTACATAACGAAGGTTTAGAAATTCTGGTAAGGCACGACTATTGAATTAATTAATTTAATTATCTACTTCAAAAAATTGGTGACGTTATCTGTTACATAAATTTCGTGAAGACAGCGTGACGGTTCTTCCGTTCCTCGTTTAATTAATTGCCTGTTTTTAAATTTAAGCTAATAAATTTCTACCGTCAAATTTTGTAATTTATCAGCGAGATTGTTATTAAAATTGACTGATTTAATTTATAAGTTTCAGAATGAGTAAAAATATATCCCGTCTAAGATGTGTTGTGCCTTCTTAGCAAGGGAAGTTCTTTTTTATCATTGTTTGCAATTTTTTCTTAAGCTATGTAAAGACGGAAATACCTTGAAAATTTTATTTTTTCGTTTCTTTGATATACCTATGGAAATTGCAAATAAAAAAATTGAAAAACCGGAAAATTCTAAATAGAAAAATTCAAGAATAACGAAAAACTGAAAAACTGCAAATAGAAAAGTTCTAGAAATGAAAAGTTGAAAGTTTATTATTAAAAACAAAAAATTTAAAGAACCAAAAAGTTTAAGAACCCAAAAATTGTGGAAACAATAAGTTGAAATAACGAAAAATTTAAGAAACGAAAAACTGAAGAAACAAAAATTTGAAAAAACGAAAAATTGTAGAAACGAAAACTGACGAAACGACAAATGGAAACTCGAAAAATTATAATGTCGAAAAATTGAAGAAACGAAAAACCGAAGAAACGAAAAGTTGAAGAAACGAAAAAAGAAAACTTCGAAAAATTGCAAACTGAACAATTCTAAAATCGAACAATTGACGAAACGAAAAGTAGAAGAAACAAAAAGTGGAAGAAACAAAAAAATGAAGAAAGGAATGGAAACTCAAAAATTGCTAATTGAAAAACTGTTTGTCGAAAAACCGAAGAAACGAAATATTGCAAACCGAGAAATTGAAGAAATAAAAAAATTGAAAACCGAAAAACTGAAAAATCAAAAAAAATGCTAATAAATAGATCGAGAGCTCGAAAAATTGCAAAATCGAAAATGTCCAGAAGAGAATTTGAAGAAACGAAAAATTGAAGAAATAAGAAGTGGGAAATTCAAAAATTGCAAATAGAAAAATTGAAGAAACGAAAAATTGAAAAATCAAAAATTAAAGTGAAAAATTTAAAACTCGAAAAAATACAACCGTGAAATTGCAGAAACTCAAAATATTTCAAATCAAAAAATTATAAAATTGGAGAATCGAAAAATCAAAGAAACCAAAAATTGTAGAAACGAAAGTTGAAGAAATGAAACATTGAAGAAACGAAAAATGGATAAAAATTGAACAATAAAAAAAATGACAAAACGAAACACTGAAAAGTCAAAAAATGTAAGTAGAAAAAGATCGAGAACTCGAAAAAGTTCAAAATCGAAAACTTGCAAACCGAGAAATTGAAGATATGTACGAAAAATCGAGGAGACGAAAAAAAGAAGAAAAGAATTGAAAAATCATTAAATATGAAGAGAAAAATTAAAAACTCGAAAAGTGCAAACAAAGAATATGAAGAAACACGAAAAATTGCAAATCACAAAATAAAAAAAAATTGAAAAAGTAAATATAAATTCAAAAATTGAAAATCGAAAAATTAGTAATGGACAAATTGAAGAAACGAAAATCTGAAAAATCGAAAAACTGTAAAATTGAAAAACGAAAAGTTAAAGAAATGGAAAATTGAAGAAAGGAAAAGTTGAAAAAATGTAAATCGAAGAAACGAAAAATTGAAGAAACGAAAAGTTGGAGAACACAAAATTGAAAGAAAAAACTGAAGAAACCAAAAATAGAAACTCCAAAAATTTGCATTTTCAAAAATTGAAGAAACGGAAAATTTAAAAAAGCAAATAGAAAAATTGTAAAACCGCAAAATTGAAGAAACGAAAACGAATAGATGAAGAAACGCAAAGTTGAAAGGAACAATTGAAGAAACGAAATATGGAAATTCCAAAAATTGCAGCTTGAAAAATAAAAAATTAAAAAAATGCAAATAGAATAATTGAAAACCCGAAAAATTGTAAAATCGAAAAATTTGAAACCAAAAAATTGATGTAACAAAAAATTGAAGAAACGCAAAGTTCAAGAAATGAAAAATTGAAGAAACGAAAAATTGAAAAACCGAAAAGTTGAAGAAACCAAAAACTGAAGGAACAATAAGTCGAGGAAACGCAAAATTGAAAGGAAAAATTGAAGAAACGGAAAATGCAAATAGAAAAATTGGAAACTCGAAAAATTGTAAAAACGAAAATTGTGAACCAAAACACTGAAGCAACAAAAAGTGAAGAAACGAAAAGTTGAATAAATGAAAAATTGAAGAAACAAAAAGTTGAAAGGAAAAATTGAAGAAACGAAAAATGGAAACTCCAAAAATTGCAGTTTGAAAAATTGCAGAAACGGATAGTTAAGAAATAAAAAAAAATAAAAAAATGCAAATAGGTAAATTGAGAACTCAAAAAATTTTTAACCAAAATATTGAAGTACCAAAAAATTGAAGAAATGAAAAATTGAAAAAACGGAAAGTTGAAGAAATTAAAAATCAAAGAAACGAAAAGTTGAAATAAAAAATCAAAGAAACAAGAAATTGAAGAAACCAAAAACTGAGGAACGATAAGTTGAAAAAATGCAAAATTGAAAGGAAAAATTGAAGAAACGGAAAATGAAAAAAATTGAAGAAACGGAAAAAAATTGAAAAATTGAAAAAATGCAAATAGAAAAATAGAAAACTCGAAAAATTGTAAAATCGCAAAATTGTAAAACAAAAAATTGAAGAAACATCAAATTGAGGAGAAACTGAAGAAACGAAAAATGGAAACTCGAAAAATTGCAGTTTGAAAAGTTGAAGAAACGGAAAATTAAAAAACTAAAAATATGCAAATAGTAAAATTGAAAACTCGAAAAACTGTAAAATTGCTAAATTGTAAATCATAAAATTGAAGTAACAAAAAATTGAAGAAGCGAAAAGTTGATGAAATGAAAAATTGTAACGAAAATTTGAAGAAACTGAAAATTTAAGAACCGAAAAGTTGAAGAAACCAAAAACTGAAGAAATGACAAGTTGAAGAAACGCAAAGTTGAAAGGAAAAATTGAACAACCGAAAAACGGTAACCCCAAAAATTACAGTTTGAAAAATTGAAGAAAAGGAAAATAAAAAATTAAAAAAATGCAAATAGGAAAATTTAAAACCCGAATAATTGTAAAATCGAAAAAATTGGAAACCAAAAATTTGAAGTAACAAAAAATTGAAGAACGAAAAGTTGAAGAAATGAAAAGTTGAAGAAATGAAAAATTGAAGAAATGAAAAACTGAAGAACCGGAAAGTTGGAGAAACAAAAAAATGAAGAAACAATAAGTTGAAGAAACAAAATTGGAACGAAAAATTGAAGTAACGGAAAATTAAAAAATTTAAAAATGCAAATAGAAAAGTTGAAAACTCCAAAAATTGTAGAAACGAAAAGTTGGAATAAATGAAAAAATGAAGAAACAAAAAATGGAAAATTGAAAAATTGCAAATAGAAAACTTGAAAATTCGAAAAACCGTAAAATTGAAGAAACAGAAAATTTACAAAACGAAAAATGCCAATAGAAAAACTGAAACTCAAAAAATTGGAAAACGAAAAATTGAAAAAACGAGAAATTAAAAATCAAAAAATGGAAACTCCAAAAACTGCAAATCAAAAAACCAAGAATCGTAGAAATGATAAGTTGAAGAAATGAAACATTGCAGAATCGAAAAATGGATAAAAATTGTTAATTGAGCAATAAAAAAATAAAAAAATTGACAAAACGAAACACTGAAGATCGAAAACTTGAAACAGTTCAAAGACGAAAACTTGCAAACCGAAAAATTGAAGAAACGAAAAATTGAAGAGACAATTTGAATTAAATTCAATTAAAAGGAAAAATTGAAGATACAAAAAATCGAGGAGACGAACAATTGAGAAAACATCAAAAAAGAGAAAAATTAAAAACTCGAAAAAGTGCAAAGAAAGAGTATGAAAAAAAAAGAAAAATTGCAAATCACAAAATAAAAAAAAATTAAAAAGTAAATATAAATCCAAAAATTCAAAAAACACGAAAAATTAAAACATTAACAAATCTGAAAATCGAAAAATTTGTAATAGACAAATTGAAAAAACGAAAATCTGAAAAATCGAAAAATTGTAAAATTGAAAAACGAAAAGTTGAAGAAATAATTTGAATTAATTTCAATTAAAACGAAAAATTGAAGATACGAAAAATCGAGGAAATGAACAATTGACAAATCATAAAAAAAAGAGAGAAAATTTAAAAACTCGAAAAAGTACAAAGAAAGAGTATGAAAAAACAAATAAAATAAATTGAAAAAGTAAATATAAATCCAAAAATTCAAAAAACACGAAAAATGAAAAAATTAACAAATCGGAAAATCGAAAAATTTATAATAGACAAATTGAAGAAACGAAAATCTGAAAAATCGAAAAATTGTAAAATTGAAAAACGAAAAGTTGAAGAAATGAAAAATTGAAGAAAGGAAAAGTTGAAAAAATAAAAAATCGTAGAAACGCAAAATTGAAAGGAAAAACTAAAGAAACCAAAAATGGAAACTCCAAAAATTTGCAGTTTCAAAAATTGAAGAAAGAGAAAATTAAAAAAATTCAAATAGAAAAATTGTAAAATCGCAAAATTGTAAACGAAAAAATTGTAAAACCGCTAAATTGAAGAAACGAAAACGAAAAGGAAACGATGAAGAAATGAAAAATTGAGAGGAAAAGTTGAAGAAATAAAAAATCGAAGAAACGAAAAATTGAAGAACCGAAATTTGAAGAAACCAAAAACTGAAGAAACGATAAGTTGAATGAACGCAAAGTTGAAACGAAAAAGTGAAGAAACGAAAAATGGAAACTCCAAAATTGCAGTTTGAAAAATTGAAGAAACGGAAAATAAAAAATTAAAAAAATGCAAATAGAATAACTGAAAACCCGAAAAATTGTAAAATCGAAAATTTTGAAAGCAAAAAATTGAAGTAACAAAAAATTGAAGAAACGCAAAGTTGAAGAAATGAAAAATTGAAGAAAGGAAAAATTGAAGAAATGAAAAATTGAAGAAACGAAAAGTTGAACAAACTAAAAACTGAAGGAACAATAAGTTGAAGAAACGCAAAATTGAAAGGAAAAATTGAAGAAACGAAAAATGGAAACTCCAAAAATTGCAGTTTGAAAAATCGAAGAAATGGAAAATAAAAAATTAAAAACATTCAAATAGAAAAATTGAAGACTCGAATAATTGTAAAATGGAATAAATTGGAAATCACAAAATTGAAGTAACAAAAAATTGAAAAAACGAAAAGTTGAAGAATTGAAAAATTGAATCGAAAAGTTGAAGAAATGAAAAATTCAAGAAACGAAAAATTGAAGAACCGAAAAGTTGAAGTAACAAAAAATTGAAGAAACGAAAAGTTGATGAAACCAAAAACTGAAGAAACGACAAGTTGAAGAAACGCAAAGTTGAAAGGAAAAATTGAACAACCGAAAAATGGAAACCCCAAAAATTACAGTTTGAAAAATTGAAGAAACGAAAAAAAAATGGAAATAGGAAAATTGAAAACCCGAATAATTGTAAAATCAAAAAAATTGGAAACCAAAAATTTGAGGTAATAAAAAATTGAAGAAACGAAAAGTTGAAGAAATGAAAAACTGATGAACTGAAAAGTTGAAGAACCCAAAAACTAAAGAAAAAATAAGTTGAAGAAACGCAAAATTCAAAGAAAAATTGAAGAAACGGAAAATTAAAAAAATTAAAAAATGCAAATAGAAAAATTGAAAACTCGAAAAATTGTTGAAACGAAAATTGTGAACCAAAAACTTGAAGCAACAAAAAAGTGAAGAAACGAAAAGTTGACTAAATGAAAATTTGCAAATCGAGAAATTGAAGAAACGAAAATTTGAAGAACGAAAAGTTGAAGAAATCAAAAATTGAAGAAACGATAAGTTGAGGGGGCGCAAAATTGAAAGAAAAAATTGAAGAAATGAAAATTAAAAACACGAAAAATTGAAATGTTAAAAAATTGAAAAATCGAAAAATTGCAAATAGAAAAATTGAAAACTCGAAAGAAAATTTAGAAATTAAAAAAACGATAAATTAAAATACCGAAACATTTTAAATTCCAAAATGGAATAATTAGAACACATTAAAAGTCGAAAGCTCAAAAATTGTGAATCGAAAATTGTAGAATTGAAAAACGACAAGATAAGAATCGAAAATGCTATTCATCCGAAAGTGGAAAATTGAAAAATCAGAAAAATCTAAAAACTGAGAAATCGAAAACCGGAAATTTTAAAAATTCAAAAGTCAGTGCCAACAACAAAAATGTCCACAATGAAAGCAACAGTATTTGAATTTGTGCCAATTTGAATTCGAAAGGCGGAAAACTAAAACGTCAAAAACTTTAGTCATTCATAACACGTTTTAAAAACCCAATGCCAACAAAACAGACATTATCAAAAAAACAAATTTTCCGCTAAGGAACACGACAGCAATACTAAGATAAGATTTTTATCGCGGATTATTTTAATCTGTTAAGGTCAAAGTGCGTTCCGCCTGAAAATAGCAAAATTATCCAAATATGTCTATTCTCATTCTCATATCGTGGCTGTAATCTCGTTTAATTTATTTTTTTTTTTATTCATTTTAAACATAATTAATACTCTGTGTAACTTCCCCAAAAATATTTAAAACTTATAAGTCGCTCCTTTATTTAGATGTTTGTCGAATTATAATTCCGTAAACGAAGCAACCGGTTGTAAATATTTGACGAAATAATGAGCTTGTTAACATAGATACCGTCCAGATGCTAACTATCCCAGCGAATTTCAATAAAGCGATACCGATAAACGTTTGCCGTGTTTCGAAATCTAGAATTATTGTTCGCGATTCACTCCAGCTGTTTTATAAAAGTTTCACGTAAAACCTACTGTTTACAAATAATCCAAAAAGCGGCCGAAAAAGTTCAAAACAACAACATCAAACACGTAATGACGTGACGTAACAAAACACGACATACACAATCATTGATGCCAACTGCAAGATCTATGTCACGGTTTGCTACAAACCAAAAAACAAACGACCGCAAGGTGCTAACTAAATAAACTAATTAAGTAGGTGTAACTTTAAAATAAACAAACAAACAAAAACTAAACGAACTCACCAAACGTGGTGTTGGTGATCCTGTTAACGATCGTGCTGATGGACGGCACCTGAGGAATTTTAATCTCCAGAGCGGTCACTTCGGCACAGCACAGTCCCACGAACACCATCACCAAAAGCGGTCTTTCCATCGTGGAAGAAGTGGCAGTTCGTTATGTTCACCAGTCGAATAGCATTTTCGCCGGTCGGCTATGACTAACACAATGCAAACATAAAAGGGAATTCTTGTAATCAATTAAAGGAATTATCTGTTTTCTCGCAAGTTTATCGGCGTGGAGTGAACTGCGGTCATGTCGATCGGTTTTAGCTAAACGCGAATTGTGGTCGATTTGCACGCTTTGCGACACAAGGTTAGAGTGTGCGAAAAATAAAAAAAATGTGACGTCAGTAATGGATTATTTAACACCGGTGCGGCCGGTACTGTTTTCAATCGAACTTGCTCGATTTGCTGGTCTAGATGAAGTACGAAAGTGAAAGGACTCTTTCGTTTGCAAGGATGTTTTACATGCGTTCTAAGTGGCGCAATGCGGTTATGTACGCATTGTACTGGTGCACTTAGGGTTGAGTAATCGAACTTTGAGTTGATAAAGTTGTAGTTAGGAAAAAGGAGAGTTGGGTTGTGTTCGGGTCTGTTTGGCCACTCCTCGTTCGAGTCGTAGGAATATTTGAAATAAGTGTGCTTGCGATTCCAATTAGGTTGGACAGCAAGACCGTCCGTGACCGGAAAATTAATCGTAACTTTCCACATTCCGTATGCACTTTCTCAATCATCCAGTCGTCGGGTGGTGTTTTGTAAAAATTAGATGAAACTAAGTGAAACTAAGTTGTCGATTTTGGTTAGAAATGATAATTAAATGCTTGCCGTTTTTGCGGAAATAATTAAATTTAATAGAGGTCAGTAATCAGTAATTACTTGCTGCAAATGTCTGCGTTAAATATGTGGTTTGCCAATTTATTTAGCTAATTGTACACAACAAGCAATCAGGGATTTTTGAAGCATGAAAGGCAGTTGAAGGAACGGGGGGTATGCGTCTAGAGTGGAAATGCTGTGAGAAGAACATAAGGAATTCTAAAAAAGTGCAGACAAGTTTCCAGGTTTTTTTTCACAATTTTGATAGTACAAGAATAGAAGCATTATTTTACGATATCGATACTTTATTTACTAAGCAAAATTTTCAGATGACGTCATCAGTCATGATTAAACAAATTAGCAAATAAACCTAACACGCTATGTTATTAAATTGAGTTCATCGATAAGATATTCTCGAATTTTTGTGGATTTTTAGGCAATTTTCTCAAAAGTTCAAATTATGCATTTGAAAATTTTGTCATTTTTTGAACATCTTCGGACGTTTTCCAAAGACTTATTTTCGTTGACTTCAATCTCTGGAAGTGGTTTTCGGCTTCTTTTCTTCGAAATTTTCACCAACATTTCCAGAATTGTCAAAATGAAATCTGACAATTTTTGAGTTGTCTTAAAAATTCAATTTTGATACTGAATATTTAGAAATCTTGGCCGGGAAGCATCAACACGGTATGTTTTTCGATTGAGCTCATCGAGATCTGTATTTTAGAATTTTTTGTGGATTTTTAAGCAAGTTTCCCAAAAATTTAATTTTTCAATATCTTCCCCTATGAAAATTTTGACTTTTTCTCAGGCATTGAAGGAAATTACTCAGAGTTCTTTTTGTTGATTTCGTTCTTTGTAAGTGTTTTTCGGCTCCATTTTCAGAGAATTTCAACCATTTTCTAGAATCGTCAAAATTAAATAAGACATTTTTTAGATATTTTGAAAATTTCACTTTGGAACCGATTATTTCGAAATCTTGTCCCGTAACCATCAAGAACTTATGTTTTTCTATTGAGCTTATCGATATCTGTATCTCAGAATTTTTGGGTGAATTTTTAGTTAATTTTTCCATTAGTACAATTTTTCATTACTTTATCATATGAAAATTTTGACGTTTTTCCCGAGCATTTTCGGAAATTACTCAAATACTTCCTTTTATTGATTTGAATCTCTGGAAGTGTTTTTCGGGTTTATTTCTTTGAAAATTCCTTAAAATATTCCAGAATCGTCAAAATGAAATCTGACAATTTTTGAGTTGTCTTAAAAATTCAATTTTGATACTGAATATTTCGAAATCTTGGCCGGGAAGCGTCAACACGGTATGTTTTTGGATTGAGCTCATCGAGATCTGTATTTTAGAATTTTTTGTGAATTTTTGGACAAGTTTCCCAAAAATTTAATTTTTCAGTATCTCCCCTTATCAAAATTTTGACTTTTTCTCGGGCATTGAAGGAAATTACTCAGAGTTCTTTTTGTTGATTTCGTCTCTGTAAGTGTTTTTCGGCCCCATTTTTAAAGAATTTCAACGATTTTCTAGAATCGTCAAAATTAATAATGTGACAATTTTTTAGACATTTTGAAAATTTGACTTTGGAACCGATTATTTCGAAATCTTGGCCCGTAACCATCAAGAACTTATGTTTTTCTATTGAGCTTATCGATATCTGTATTTCAGAATTTTTCAGTGAATTTTTAGTCAATTTTTCCATTAGTTCAAGTTTTCATTACCGTGTCATATGGAAATTTTGACGTTTTTTCCGAGTATTTTCGGAAATTACTCAAAGACTTCCTTTTATTGATTTCAACCTCTGGAAATGTTTTTCGGGTTTATTTCTTTGAAAATTCTTCTAAATTTTCCAAAATCGTCAAAATAAAATCTGACAATTTTTGAGTTATTTTAAAAATTCAATTTTGATACTGAATATTTCGAAATTTGGCCGGGAAGCATCAACACGCTATGTTTGTCGATTGAGCTCATCGAGATCTTTATTTTAGAATTTTTTGTGGATTTTTGGGCAAGTTTTCCAAAAATTTAATTTTTCAATATCTTCCCCTATGAAAATTTTGACTTTTTCTCAGGCATTGAAGGAAATTACTCAGAGTTCTTTTTGTTAATTTCGTCCTCTGTAAATGTTTTTCGGCTTTCAATTTTTCATTACTTTATCATATGAAAATTTTGACGTTTTTCCCGAGCATTTTTGGAAATTACCTAAAGAATTCCTATTTTTGATTTAGGCCTCTGGAAGTGATTTTCAACTTCATTTTTTCAAAAATTGCAGCAATGTTTCCAGAATTGAGAAATTAAAATACATATGTTAATTTTTGAGATATTTTCAAAATTTCAGTTTGAAATCGAATTAATCGAAAATAATGACCCGGGACTATCAACAGGCAATGTTTTTCGATTGAGTTCATCCATGTCTATAATCCAGAATTTTTCGTGGATTTTTAGTTAATTTTCCCAAAAGTTCAATTCTTCTTATGTAAATTTTGACTTTTTCGCGAGCATTTTCGAAAATTACTTCAAAAGTTCCTTGTGTTAACTTCGACCTCTGGAAGTGTTTTTGGCTTCATTTTTTATAAAATTTCTAAAGTTTTTCCAAATTTATCAAAATAAAATAAGTATGATAATTTTTGAGACACATACCATAACAATTTGAATTCGAAACGGAAAATTTCGAAAATCTTGTCCGGCCAATCAATATGTTGTGTTTTTCTACTGAACTCGTTGAAATCTACATCTTGGATTTTTATGTGGATTTTTGGGCCATTTTCCCAAAAGTTCAATTTTTCAACATCTTCCCGGATAGAATGTTTGACGTTTTCCTGAACATTTTCGGAAATTACTCAAAGAGTTCCTATTGCTCCTTTCGACCTTTGGAAGTGATTTTAAGTTTCATTTTTTCAAAAATTTCTACCATTTTTCTAGAATTTTCAAAATGAAATTTAACAATTTTTGATATTTTTTTTAAATTTCAGTTTGAAATCGAATTATTCGAAAATGATGGGCTGGGACTATCAACAAGCAATGTTTTTCGATTGAGTTCATCGAGATCTTTAGTCCAGAATTTTTTGTGGATTTTTAGTCAATTTCTCCAAAAAGTTCAATTTTTCAGTACCTTCCCTTATGAAAGTTTTGACATATTCCCGAGCATCTTCGGAAAATACCCAAAGACTTCCTTTTGTTGAGTTCGTCTTCAGGAAGTGTTTTTCCACCAACTTTTTAAGAATTGTCGAGATGAAATCTTATAATTTTTGAGATATTCTGAAAATCTTACTTTGAACTGGAATATTTCAAAAATCTTGGTCCGAGACCATGAACACATTCGGTTTTTCGATTAAGCTCATCAGCATCTATATTTCAAAATTTTTTGTGGATTTTTAGTTTTAAAGGAACAATTTTTCAAAATCTTCCCGTATGAAACTTTCGAAAATTATTTAAAGAATTTTTTTGTTGATTTCGGCCCCTGGAAGTGTTTTTCGGTTTAATTTCGTCATAAATTCCAACAATAGTCTTTCTAGAATAGTCAAAATGAAATATGGACATTTTTGAGTTATTTTAAACATTGGAATTTGAGGATTTTTACGTAATTTTTCCAAAAGTTCAATTTTTCAAAACCGTTTCGAATGAGGATTTTGACCTTCTTCCGAGTTTTTTCGAAAATTGCTACATTAAAAATTTGACTTTGAAGTGGAATATTTCGAAAATCTTAGTCCGAGGCCATCAATACCTAATTACAGTTTTTTTTTGTGGATTTTTAGTTTTAAAAGTTGATTTCTCCATATGAAAATTCCTTTTGTAGATTGTAGATTTCGTCGAAAATTCAACCAATTTTTCCAGAATCGTCAAAATGAAACCAAACAATTTTTAAGATGTTTTAAAAATTTGTTTTGAAACCGAATACTTCGAAATCTTGACCCTGAACTATTAAGTCTTTATGCTTTTTGATTGAGCTCATCCATTCCTGTACCTATCCCAGAATTTTTTGTAAATTTTAAGACCATTTTTCTAGAAGTTCAATTTTTCATTATCTTCTCATATGAAAATTTTGACTTATTTCCCGAATATTTTCGGAAATTACTCAGAGTTTCTTTTGTTAACTTCAATCTCTGGAAGTGTTTTTGGCTTAATTTTTTCGAAAAGATTTACACTTTTTCAGATTTATCAAAATAAAATATAATCATTTTTGGTTTACATAATTTAAAAATTTGAATTTGAAATATTTAAAAAAATTTGGTCCAGGACAATCAACATGCCATGTTTTTATTTATCCCAGAATTTTTTGTGGATTTTTGGGCAATTTTCCCAAAGGTCAGTTTTTCATAAACCTCCCCTATGTCCATTTTCCGAACAATTTTGGAAATTACCCAAAGAGTTCCTATTGTTGATTTCGACCTCTGGAAGTGATTTTCTGTTTATTTTTTTTTTAAATGTAACCATTTTTCCAGAATTCTCATTGAAATATGGCAATTTTTGAGACATTTTCAAAATTTGTTGACCCGGGACACGCAATGTTTTTGATTGAGTTCATCGATATCTATATTCGAGATTTTTTTGTGGATTTTTAATCAATTTTCTCAAAAATTCAAT